GCCTTGTGACAGCTGAGTAGAAGCTTTCAAGACTGTTGAATCTCCGTGGAGGTTAGAAGAGAGGACGGCCAACAGGGGTGGCGTGTGTGGTGTGGGGCGCATGGGGCCCCAGGTGGCTGCAGGGGCGTGAGATAGAGCCTATCTTCAGGGAAGCTCATCTCTCTCTCCTTGTGGGACATGGGGACCGTCACACCGCCTGATTCAGGGAGTCCTCTCCCTGCTTGTCAACAAACCTGCTTTCTCTTCCCGTTTCTATAACGGGGGCTTTTCCTTTCTCTCAGAACCCAGTGTGATCTGAGTTCTGTTTTCAACAGCTGCCGAGGGTTCGACACCCGCCTCCTTTCCTCTGCAGAGAAACTCAGTGGCCCCAGCGGGAGGGGAGAGTTTTCTCCCCTTTGCCTGTGACTTTGGCCTTGGCCGAACCCACGTGCTCGGTGGGAGTCTCATTTCCTTAGTTTGGGGTCTGTCTGAAAAATGGTGGAACCTTGGTGTGTTCTGTGGTGAACCCCATGGTGGGGTCTGTGTTGAGACTTTTTCACAGCTCTGGGCCTGCCTTCCTAGAGAGTTCCTCCAATGTGAACCCAGTCAGAAACGGCGGCCCAGGAGGCGACTTTCTGGGACTTCTTGGGGGGCGGGGGTGCAGGCTGGAGGATGAAGGACGGCATTGGAATGGCTTCCTGTGGGAGCCCCTCAGGGCCTGCAGAGCAGTGTCTTGACTGGCAAATTTCTTTTAAAATGTAGCTGTGATTTCCTTCACTGAGCCTGGCAGTCCAGAAGAACCCCTGGTTTTCTCTCTGTGACCTTTTCTCCAAGTTCCTTTTCCCTCCTTTCTCCCGCCCTCCAAGCTTTCGGATTTTTGTAGTAAAACTGATTTCAGGTGGGTAGAAACTTTGAGAGAAACTTTAAAAAAAAAAAAAAAATCTGGAGCAACCCAAATCATCTTGCCTTTACATTTTCATAAGATTTACACACTTAAAACCTTTTTTTTCCCCTTAAACAAGGAGGTTTTTGTCTTCTGTTCTTAGAAGTTCTTTTTTTTTTGTAAAAAAAAAAATCCATTAAATTATAGATTGCTTAAAAGAGGTAGGCCTGACACTTTGAAAGACTGTCAAATATCGTTAAGGCAGGAGAGAGCTGCTTTTGGCAGGCTTCTCCTGGCTGAGTGGGCGTTCGTGGGCGGAGAGCGTGTGCTGCGCCCCTTGACTGGAGAGGGGACCCTCCTTTGGCTGCTAATTTGGTAAAGACTGAAATGAGGCTCCAAGTGGGGGCAGGTAAGTCGCTTCTGAAGTGGTTTGAGCAGTCGTTTTCGGGCACATTCACCCCGGGTAGGAGTACTCTACCCATCATCTCCTCAGGAGTGGCAGCGACGTCGCCTGACACTGTGCACCCAGCTGCCTCCGTCTGTTGTGGCTGTCGCCGCGGTTAGCTTACGGTGGGACGCGCACAGCGCACCTGCGTACAGTTGGTTCTGTCCTTAGGACCAAGAATGAGGGATCCCAGCCTGGATGGACGGTCTGTCTTAGGGAGTTTTTAACTTCTCTCCCGACAGCCTGAGAAACGCTTGGATTAATCCTCTCAAATGTGTCCTGAACACCCACTGAGCACTTTTATGTCTGACCTCGTCTATTCCTCATACCAACCCTGCAAAGTAGGGACTGGCCCCTGTGCGGAGGTCGAGCAACTTGCCCGATGTCGCATTGTAAACAGGAGAGTTAAGATTCAATTGAGGAGACTGAACTCTGGAGAGAGTGTGTGAGTGTGTGTGTGTGTGTGTGTGTGTGTGTGTTTAAATCTTCACCTAAGGGTATATTTATTGATTTTAGAGAGAAAGGAAGTAGTGGGGGGTGAGAGAGAAACGTTGATCGGTTGCCTCTCAGCTGTGCCCCAACTGGGATCCAACTTGCACCCAAGGGATGTGCCCTGGCTGGGAATCGAACCCTCAAGATTTTAGTGTGTGGGGGATGACTTTCCAACCAACGGAGCCACCTGGCCAGGGCCTGATTTTGTGTTCTTTTTCCTTCGTATGTTCTTGCAGTGTTCTGTGATGTCAGTGTTCAATAATGGTGATGGAATGGTTTTTCATTAGTGTTTATCGTTGTAAGGAACAGGCCCTGAGAGGGAAAGTGACCTTACCGAGTCATTTACTGGTAGGACCCTGGCTAGAATTCAGGGCTCAGGGCTTCCTGCAAAGGCCTCTCAGTGACTGTGCCTGACCGTTTTCTTAAGAAACATGGAACCTCTCGGTGACCTTCTTTTGGGGGGTCCCTGGGTGGGAGCGGTCGGTGTTGGGAGAGGAGGAGGTAGCTCTCACGTCCTTTGTGTAGATGTGGGGTGATGGTGCTTTTGGCCAGAAACTGGTGGCCGCTGCATCTGAACATGGGCTTTTCTAAAAGCTTCTCACACTGTCTTGTGGATCAGAAGGAGGAGGAATGGCTAGATGGGGCTGTCATTGGTTGGATGAGCTCTTGTGCTCTTAAGGATGCTCACTGATGCCCGTCTGTCTAGACAGAGATCCCCCTGGCTAGCGGACTCTGATCTCAGCCTTTACCTCTTTCATTATTTGGGGGTAGATGTAGAAGGGCTGTTCATACCTGGACTTGGTTGGCAAATGGTAAATATATCAGATGTCAAAATTGGAGCTTCTCACAATGTCTTGATGGGCCTGGAATGGTGGTAGCCTGAGCTCTTGCAAGGTTTCATTCCACATGAGTTAAAGTTATGCTCTTGGGTTGAAGAACTGCCCCAAGGGCACAAAGATGGGATGGAGGCTATGTGGCTTAGCAGCAGGGTGACAAGATCTGCGCCTGGGCGTTGGTGTCAGTAGCTCAGGTGTGGCTGCCTACGGGCCTCCGCCAGGAACCAGTCAGACGGGATCCCTGACCTGGGGAGCTCAGCATCCCGTGGGAGCAGATTGCAGCTGGAGGAGTAAAGCTGAAGGCTGGCAGTGGCCAAGCACGTCTCAGATGCACGGGTGCGGAGCTGGTGGTTGTGATCTAGCAGCTTGTGTGCCAGAGAATTCAGGGTTTGGATGGGATGTAAGTTCATGGGGCTGTTGTTGCCAGAACCTACCGCTAATTTGATCTTAAATTTTGTTTATGTAACGACTTTTAGTGCTTTTATTAAAATGATACATGATCTTATAAAAAAAACAACAAAACAAACAAGCTATGCCAGAGAGGAAAGTACAAAGAAGAAAGTGGTACATTGGTCCAAATCTTAACTCCCAGAAATAATCTATTTTAATACTTGGTTGACAATTTCCTCGATATCTCTCTGCACATTTTCAGACAGACTTGAGAGCTAGAGATACATATATACAAAGGACTTTTGTAACAGAGTCCTTTGTATTGTATTATATTTTCAAAATAAAAATGTATTTAATTTTACTTTCATTTAACAGAAGGATTGAAACTGAAGTGAAGTAATACCAAAGATATTGCTAAACTTCCTAGAACTGTTTCTGCACTGAAAGAAATGAGTTTCTCAAGACATTCCTCTAAAGCAGTGGTTCTTAACCGGGAATGATTTTGCCCGCAAGGGAACAGCGGGCCATGTCTGAAGACACTTTTTGTGGTCACCGCCAGTGGCATTTGTGAATGTCATGGGCAGCTAGTGAATACAGGCCAAGGATGCTGCTAAACATCCTACGGATAGCCCCTTAAGAAAAGAATGATCTGGCCCAAAATGTAAGCAGGGGCAGGGGTGAGAAGCTGCTCTAAGGGTAAGAAAAGACGATTAACATTAGGAAGGTGAAATTAGTACGTTTGAGCTCAGCTGCAGTTTTAGACTTTTGATTGGGCTTCCGTAATGAAAGACGAGATGACTGACTTCATTATATAGTTTTTGCCTCTTGTTCATAACAGAAACCAAGAGGTGGCCCATGTTGTTTTTACCATGTCAAGGTTCGTAGCATTTTCATTCTGTCCTGCAACTCTTCACTCCCCAGGTGTTTAGTCGTAATTCTATATTTAAATGATTCGGCACCAAACATAACTTCCGTAACCATGGTTTCTGCTTCTCTGGGTTTGTTTTGCATTGCCACTTGGTTGGTTGGCTACTGGATCTTAACATGAATGTAATGTGTATGTGCAGGGAGGTGTCAGACCCCACCCTGGTTTGGCCCTGGCAAAATTGCAACTGCAGGTTTGGGTTCGTGTCTGAGCACCAAGCTTAGCAGAAGAGCAGAGAGACATGATGCAGTGTTCCCAGGTCTCGGTGGGGATGTGAAGCAGGGTCCTGGGTAGAAATGGAATTGAACTTGAGGGGACTGAAAGAAGGAAAGCTGTAGGTGAATGTGCTGGTTATCCTCCGTTCTTTGAAAAGCCTTGCACGTGGAAGCAGGATTGGTCTGACCTCTGAAGTTGCCCAAAAGGTTAGAACTAGGACCGCATGGATATGTATAGAACAGGACACCAGATACGGGCTGCTGTGGGAGGGAGCTGAGTTCACTGTTAGCTGAACTGTGCTGGGGAACCATCTGCTGCCATGTTGTAGGCAGGGGCTGGGTTCGAGCCGACAGCGGAGCAGCTATATTTGGGTAACTTCCCAACCTTGAGATTCTGAGAGTCTAATGATGCTTCCCAGCGGTCCCTTGTCCTGGGGTGGAGCCCCAGGCACTCTGGTTCCTTCGTCCCTGCTGTTTGGGATTAGAGGGAGAACAGCCAGGGCCATGATTGGGTGCTCAAGGCATTCTGCACATCTAAAATTTGGGCCCACCCTCTATTGACTCGAAAAGTGATGCATCAACATACATATTAGATTCTGTCCAACTTAATCCAGGTGGTGTCTGTAGTGTTTACTGGATTACAGGGACGGAGCCCATTGTACACCCATTCCTGAGCCAGTGCATTTATATGTAACCTGGGCAGCACACAGTAGACTGCAAAGGAAGAGAGCATGCAGATTGTTCCTGCATCATTGGCATTGGGTGTTGTGTTATTCTCTTAATCAGATATCTACCACAGTGTCACTTACTGATTGATGGCTTTGTTTTGTTGTAGGGGAGCTATCCAGTTTGGGAAGATTTCATAAACAAAGCAGGAAAACTACAGTCCCAGCTTCGGTAAGTAGCAGTATGTCATCCCTGGGGAAATGGTAACGTCTTTAGACAAAGGATGGAATAGGATGACCCCAAGATGCAGATGGGGGTTAATTTTGGGAGTGTCACAGATATAGAAGTGTGTAGTGAGTTCTAATTTGAGCATTGTCATTTACTAGCCATATGTCCTGGCCTCTGATTCCCCATGTATGGAATTGAACTCATCTGCTCTGTCTCCTTCCACAGGAATTTTGAGAGTGAAATGGGGTATTATATGTAAAGTAGTCTGGGCAGCATTTATACAGCACTCGCTGTGTACCAGGCATATGTTAACTTAATTAAATCTCCCAAACCCAAGAGCTAAGTACAGTCTCCTTCCCCATTTTACTGATGAGGAAACTGAGGCACAGATAAGCTAAATAACTTATCCAAAGGCACACAGCTGGTAAATAACAGGGATTTGAATTTAGGGAGTTTGGTTCCAGAGTCCATTCTTACAAAGAGTTTAAAACGTGGTGTTGACCGTTGTAGAATCTTATTTACATGAAATGTATAGAAAAAGCAAATTTGTGGAGGTGGATATAGATTGGTGGTGGGCGGAGGCGGACAGGAGACAGGCTGTCGGTGGGCCCGGGGGGTCTTTTTGGGGTGATGGAAATGTTCTGAAATTGGACAGTTGTGGTGGTTGCGTAACTCTAAATTTACTAAAGAACTGTTGAATTATGTACCTGAAAAGGGTGAATTTTTATGGTATACAAATTATGCCCCGATAAAGCTTCTTAAAAAAATACGACTTAGTGCTATCCGCCCCCAAGGGGCGATTATTATTGTCTTGTGCTTGTTCATGTGTCACTTGTTAAGAAATAGAAAATATACCTACATCTTCTTGTTAAAACGATATGCTCGAAAATCAGTGGGAAGAAGGGGTGCTTTTGCACTTTGTGGGTGTTCCACGAGGGATGGGACATTGACAAAAGCAATCAGTTTCATGTCCCTCGATCATGGGATATGGCGATGACCTATATTGGTGGGAGATACGAGGATGATTTTCCAGAGAGCAAAGCAGGTAAGTACTTGTTAGGATCCAAAGCTCTGCGGGTGCCAGAGAGGACAGAAGGATGGCATGATGCTCTTAGGCCTTCGCTTATGGACGCCGAGGGTTACGGATCAGAGTCATGGCCGTAGGACTGGATGTAGGATGGCTCCCCTGGAGATTAGGAGCGAAGAACTGGGGAGCGGTGGACCTTTTCCCTTTCAGTCCTGCACCTTCCGGCGGCCTGGGGTTTCCATCCGCGCACCTGGGATTTCCAGAGCTGTGAGCGGGCCTCCCGTTGGACCGGGGGCTCTGGAATATGGCTCCTTCTCCGCTTGTCAAGTCCTTTACCATTTCTTTGCTTAAGAACTTGTGATTACTTGATGCCAAATTGGATTCAGACTCCTGGATTCAGAATGCAAGGCCCTTCACCTTCTTTATTAGTTACGGCTGCACCCCCACCTCTGCCACTATTATTGTTTATTTCAAATAGGTTAGCCTCCCTCCTGTAAGTAAAACAATAAACACTTAAGTTTTCCACACCCCTCCCCTCACCCCCATACTTTTTCTTATCTGGCCTCATTTAATTGTTTGGCAAGCTTTCAGGGTTGAACCAAGGAAAAGATTCCCTCCTCTTTTTACTAATGAAGAAGCCAAAGCTTAAAGCAATGAACTGATTACACATATTGATACAGAGGAAGACTTAGAGCAGTGTTTCTTAGCCCCGTGGGTCCAAAATAGAATACATTTTATGTTTTTAACAACATTTAGGCCTCCTGCGCACAGGGACCATTTCTTTATTTTGTCAAAGGACTAGTACGCGGCCAAGGGCCCTTCAGGGGCCTCACACACGTGGGGCAGTCTTCTGTGTTTGAGGAAGGATAAAGAGAAGACTGTGGAGGAGGCATGTGAGCCCAGGAGTGTTTAAGCTGATTCACTCCTTCCTGCTGCCTGTGGCTGCTTGTTTATTCTGTCCCGTTGGAGAGGGCTAAGATGGCTTGTGACAACAGCAGACAGTGAAATATGACTCATTGGGAGGCAGTGTTTAAAAGCTCGTAATTCGTCACACTTGACCACCGTCCTCCTTTTCAGTGGAGCCCTGGTGACGCGTGACGCGCAAGGCACCCCTACAGCGGGCTCATTAAATGTGGATGATCGGCGTTGACTTGAATGAGAATAATTCCAGCCACTGTGTCAGATAGTAATTATAAATCAGAATGAGCTCTTTGTAGGTCCTAGGATGTCTGATAAAGCCAACCTTCCCCAGGGTTTGCTTGTGATGTCAGGTCTTTTAAAAATGCGCTTCACGGGGCTATTTTTTATTTTGGTTTTGCTTTGGTTTTTAAGTCATTTTTTAAAATAACGTGGGCAGAATGCCTTCTTGCTCTGCCGGAAAAGATTCGGGCCTGGTTTGGAAGTTTGGCTCTAAGGGGTGACTGACTGCCCAGGTGTTCCCAGAGGCCTCACCCTGAACCTCCAGGAACCTTTCGTTTCATAGCCACTGTTGCTTACATTTAAAGGCCATTTCTTTTCTTTTTCTCCTTTTTGAACTCTTTCCTTGATAATCCTTGTTCTTCTCTTCTTCCTTCAGCACCTTCGCTTTTTTTTTTTTTTTTTTTTTTTTTTAAAGGAACACTCAATAAAGACAGGGTTCATGTGTGAAGTACTTGGAAATCAGCATCAGCATCAGGCTCCAAGCTCAACTGTCAAGTGCAGATCTGGGGCTGGCTTGCTTGTTTGGGGTATCACAGCCCTGCCATGGAGCTGGAGCGGTGCCCGCTCTTCGCTGAGGGACACCTTGGAGCACAGTTCCAAGAACCAGTAGACCACAGAGCACTCAGGACCTCTCATAGTGCCCAAGAGCTTGTGAAGAATTCAAACTTATTTCTAGGCCACCAAATGAGTATCGTAACTTCTCCCTGTTCTCAGCTTTTAGGAATTCAGAAGATGGCAGTTGAGATAAGGTTCTAAGGTTGCAAAAACAGTATCTCAGTTTCGTAGTAATTATGATTTAGGGTGAAAAGTCACATAGCGAGGATCTTGACTTGTGAGACGAGCACAGGATTGTGAGTCATGCTGGGCTACTAGTCCCAGCTCTGGAACAAACTAGGGATCTTGAAACAGCAACCTTAGAGTTGTAGTCTCAGTTTTCCCATCTCTAAAATGAGTTATTTAAACTAGATAATTTCTCGCTACGATTCCTTCTCTAAATCTATGTATGTATTGTTTTCCTACTGTAAAATTAATTTTACCAGTACCATTTGTACTTTTCAGTGTTTTTGTGTTTGGTAGAAACACCCGTCTTTTCCTCCTTTGTGAAACTTTACCTGGTAATACTGTATTTTGCCATGTATAATGCGCACTTTTTGGCCCACATATTTGAGGGAAAAATAAGGATGTGTATTATACATGGGTATTATGATTATGTACCATGGGTATAAAATAATGGGCATAATAATCCCATGTATAATGCACACAAAAACGTGGGTGCACCATATACATGGCAAAATACAGGTCATTGTGTACTACCAGGTGAAACGGGATGGGAAGAATTGCTAGCACTTATTGACTGGCACCAAGTGAGGTGGATGTTATTGGGGTGAGATGCTCATACCATGAGGAGAAATGCTTCTTAAGAAAACAGTGGGTCCACCAAGCGAAGGCTTGTCCTTGTCCAGTTGGGTTGTTTCCCCAGAAGATAATGTTCAGTCCTCAGCAGAGGGTTTAGCCCCTGAGCTGTAATGAATTTGCGAGTGTGAGACATTCCTCATGCTTCTGTCATCTGTTTGTATTTCAGGACAACAGTAGTAGCAGCAGCTGCCTTCTTGGACGCCTTTCAAAAAGTGGCTGACATGGCGACCAACACACGTGGTAAGCAGATGGCAGGGTGGCTTCCAGCCCAAGTCGGATCGAGCATGTGGGCCCTTTCTCTTGGGGTGGCTTTATGAGAAGATAACATAAATTATCAGAGCTTAGCTGGCTCATATTTAAAAAATTTTTTGTTTTTTACTCTTTGGGATTCCACATACTGGGAGCCGCAGAGTTCTCCAGATGATAAAGTGCAAGAGAAGAAGAATGGAAAATCAAGGGAAAGAACCACCACTTAGGCATGAGGTGGCTTGATGTGTTTTCTAGTCACTTTCTATGACAAGCTGGTTGCAGAACCTTGAGCTGTGCATTTGGTTGTAATTTGTTTTTCCCTTTTCACAAGGGCTGCCCTAAGGTTCTCTCTGCTCCCTTGTGGGCTGGGAAGCAGAGAGGATGATTGGATAGACCCTTCTTCTGGGTTCTCTAAAACGAGGAGCCCTTGTGTACGTAGTGTCCTACTGTGCTGTGTCTCCCACTGCAAAGCCCTGGAGGTCCAGATTAATGACTTCTTCATGTCTGAACCCCCCAAAACATCATGCCTAGAACATCATAAATGGTTACAGTATGTATATTAAATCAATGGAAAAAGAAAAATCCTTTGAAATATTGTAATGGTTTCAGTCACTACTGAAACCCACAAAAGACGAATAATGACATGCGGAAGATGTCAAGAAGAAAACAGATACCCCTGTATCCACCACCATTGTAGAAGCCCAGCGTCAGCTGCACCGTGGAAACCGCTGTTCCCAGCAGTGTGCTTTCCTTTCCACTCCCAGGCAATCCCTGCTTCTTTGGTTGCTGTATGTTTCAGGGTTTGCTTGTGCACTGACAGCTGCGTGTTTCTTCTTGTCATTTTCATGGTGACATTGGGAAGACATGGGTGTTGGGGGGTTGCTCCCAGTCTCGGGGGAGTTTGACTTTTTTGAAGTACGCGATGGGCCCCTCCGGGGGGTTTCAGTGAACACCCATTTACCATAGGGCTCAGTTAAATGTTTGAGTTTGTGGCGCGCACACTTCTCATTCATTCACGCAACTTGAAAACTGCTGATATGTCAGGCACTGTCATGGGGCCACAGAAATCCACATGTTACTCTCCTGGCCCTGGAAGAGCTTGCCATTGAATAGGGGGAAATACAGATGTGCAAATCAAGACTTTCAGTGTAGAAATCCCACGTTTGCTCTCATACCAGTGGTGGAACAGAGTGTGGGGAAAAGGGAGCCATTGACTTGGCTCAGGGAGATGGGGGAGGGCTCCTGGGGAGGCCATATTTCTCTTCATTTCCAGGATGCCAACAGTATTCCAGAAGGTTCTCTAGAGAAATGTGCTTTCATCTGGTTTGCCCACATGATATGGATCTTACCGACTCTCGTTTTTAAGCCCTTTAAAGAAATTCTGACATAGTTTATATGTATCCACTTTTGAAACAGTGGAAAACTCAAGTATAAAGAAGATATCATTGAAGCCAGTCTTCACCATTGTTAGTGTTATTGGGTCTGTTTTATAATATTTCCTTCTACTTCACTAGTATCCAGAACTGGACTCGTTATATCGATGTCTTTCTAGAACAGCCGTCTGGATGTATCTTCTAAAAAAAAAAGTTGCTGTATTATTTAAAGGAATTTAGATATCTGGCATCGTGTTTCTGAGGCTGTGATTCAGAACAAGTTTTGATATTGTAATGTTTAATAATTGGCTGGGTCCAAAAGGATGGACTAGAAAGACACCCCCCGATTGTCCATAACATCCTGTAGTGGGAACCGGGGTGTTGGCAGAGGCAGCTCCCAGAGTGGCTTCGGTGGGAAATGGGAGATCCTGCCAGTTCTCGTGGTCAAAGGGAGGAAACACAGAGCAATTATTGGTGGGAAAAGAAACCAGCATCGCTTCTCTGGGGTGATGATGGAGAATAGAGTAGGAGCTTGGAGGTGATGTATTGGACAGAAAACAAATAATGTCACAGTGAACAGACCCGGCTTTCATATATTTTTAAAGTATTTGATTTCTGGTCATTTTTAATGATTCCGGAATCTCACATTTTGCCATGTCTAGAACCTGTGCACACAGGGGGGGAATAGCTCTCTGTGGCATGTGGGAGGGTGAAGACTCTTCACGTGACCTAAAGTGTCTGCTTGGTGGAAAGGGGATATAGTTTATGGCAATAACATGAGGAACTTGAATGCACGCACTTCTCGTATGTTCAATAAGCATCAGAAGTGATTTTTACTAAGTTAATTTTTACTTAAAAGTTGAAAAATATAGGACATACTCTCAAACTTAAAAAATTCATGTAACAAAATATATAAAATTAAACCCACCCTCCCAGTGTCCTTTGCAGGGATTGGGTTTAGTGTCATGTATAGACTTTTTTTGCATACATGAACAAACACATCTGGGAGGAAAAATCTAGTTGCAAAACAATATGTAGAATGATATATAAAACAAAGTCTATCTGTATGATCTCTTTCAAAAGGTAGCCTGTAAGAAACATCATTTCTATACTTTTACCCCACAGTGCGTTACATGACAGTACCTATAGCTTTACCTCGTTGGTTCTAGCGGCCAAATGGAATTTCACTGTCTGGATATAGCACAGTGTAATCATTCTTTTATTGGGGGATATGAAGATTATCTTCATTTATTTGTTATTACAAGCTATGCTGCAATTAATGCTTATGTTTACATCAACCAAGGAAACAATGAATCTATAGAAAATACATCGAGCTGTTTTGATCAGCAATAAATATATGACATCTGTCTGGAAGAAGTCCAACCATTATCAATATACCGAGAACAGTTTGCACAACACTGATGTAACCTTGCAGGCAAGGAGAGTGGACTGGGATGCACATGCATGAACAATAACAGGTTCACTGTACTGGTCAGTGGGGGTGGTAGATTCAAAATGACTGAGCAAGCAGAGCAATGAATTTGCATCAGATTTTGCATCAAGCTTGGATATTCCTCGATGGAAACTATTAGGATGATTCAGAAGGCTGAAGCTATGGACAACTGGTGATGGGCAGCTTCATCAAAACAGTGCATCCGCTCATGCATCATGTCTTGTACAGAGGTTTTTGACAAAACATCAGATCACCCAGGTGATTCAGCCCCAACCCCTAAAGCCCAGATTTGGTGTCCTGCAACTTCTGACTTTTCCTAAAACTGAAATCACCTTTGAAAGGGCAGAGATTTCAGACTGTTGATGAGATTCAGGAAAATACAACAGGACAGCTGATGGCGACTGGGAGGACTGTGTGAGGTCCCAAGGTGCCTACCTTGAAGGGGACTGAGGCGTCATTGTCCTATGTACAATGTTTCTTGTATCTTCTTCAATAAATGCTGCTGTTTTTCATAGTACATGGCTGGATACTTTCTGGACAGACCTCATATCTTTGGGCTTAAGGTCATGACAGGTTATAGCTCTCATACGGTTTGCAGTTGGAGATCTACCCTGTACAGGAAGTCCAGTGTCCTTTGCTTAGAGCCTGTGGATGTGTTTTTCAAGCCCTTCTTGCTCGAGGTGACAGAAAGATTAGCAGTTATTCTCAAGTGCATCTCATTTGGGCAAGTGTCCAGAATTTCAAGCTAGCAGATCTCTGGTTTCCAAAATATTAGCATTCCATATTGTTTCCCAAAAGAAACGGCTGTGAAAGGTCTTTGTCCTTTTTAGCTAATAGTTTACACTAGTTGCTAATACAATTTATTTAGAAACAAGTTTTAAAGCTAGTCACTATAAGAGCAAAACAATTTGTCTTTATATAACTATTGTTGATCAGAATGTAGAAATATGTCAGAAGTCTATCTTCTGTTTTTTAAATGGTGAGTACAATTTGCCCTTGCAATGTGTGTATTTAGGTTAATATTTAAACTAGAATGGAACTTAGTTTATTAGCACCATAATACCTGGCACAGTTTATATTTTATTGATTTTTCAACTTGTGTTTAATATGAAAATACACTTTTTTTTTTTCTATTTTATCAGCCACAAAGATTAGTGTCTAGGCATTCAGTATACTTAGAAAGCCAGACTTTTAGGGCAGAAACTACTTTCTTCTCATCCTTGATGGACCAGCACTCAGGCTGTTGTGGGAGTTGAGAAATGTTTGAACTGACTGGCATGCCGTTGTCTGGGCTACTTTAAAAAAGAAAAATAAGGTAATGAACTCAGGTGGGGCGTGACGTCTCTGCCCCTGCAGTGGAGGTGCCCCGTCTTGGGGACCAGCATCCCTACACCTATAAGCACACACCCTTGTATGCCAGGTCCCGGCTGTCCCTTTCAGTGGAAGGCAAGGGTATTGAGCTGATGCCACGCCCTGTCCTGCTCAACGCTGGCCCACTGTGGCCACTGCATCATTGCTTAGGTCAGCAAGGGCCTTTGAAGAGCACGATGCTGTGTGACTGTCAAGCTGGGCTGCCTCTGTGTGCCTCTGTAATTACTTTCAAGCTTTGAAGCACCATCTCAGGGATGTTTAGATGATGATACACCAAACTCATAGTAAGGAGCTGAAGGTTATAAGAAAGAAGGAAATAGATTGCTAGTCAACCAGATCATCTTTAATGTCCAAAACCCTTTGTACATCACTTTTTAAAATGGGCGTGGTTTTAATCTTGAGAGTAATGGCATACCTTTATTGAATACATTCACAGGCTGGACTCTGTCCTGTGTGTTTTATATATGTTGAGTCTTTTTATTTTAACAACAGCCCCAAGAGGTCGGTGCTCATGATCTTCATTTAAGTGATGAAATCAGACAAGAGAGTTTACCTAAACTGACCAAGGTCACGTGGCCGGCAAGCGGTGAAGCTGGAGTCTGGCCCTGAGCCTAGACTTTAACCGTTAAGTCATGATTCCTTATGTAAGGAGCTCCTGGATTTAGCATAGGCTTATTATTTGCTAAAAGTCACTGCTCCTGAATGGATTAATAAAACAATCTGTGTAGTACCTTGGAGGAATAACTACATTGGGAGCTGATATCTGTGTTTGTCTTCTGGCGGCACTGGCTGTG